CTGCTGGGCTCCGGCGATCCTTCCGCCTCAGCCTTCCAAATAGCCGGAACTACAGGCGCGTGCTACCATGCCCGGCTAATTTTTTATTTATTGTAGAAATGGGGTCTCGCCAAGTTGCCTGGGCTGGTCTCGAACTCACAGGCTCAGGCAATCCACTCGCCTCGGCCTCCCAAAGTGCTGGGATTACAGGCTGAGCCACCGAGTTGGGCCAGCGTTAGATTCTTACAGGAGCATGAACCCTATTGTGAACTGCGCATGCGAGGGATCTAGGGTTCGCACTCCTTATGAGAATCTAATGTCTGATAATTCCCTCCCTCCCCACCTGGGAAAAATTGTTCCATGAAATCCATTCCCGATGCCAAAAAGGTTGGAGACCGCTGCCCTAGTCCCTTTCAGTCCCCTGTTCCTGCCTGTTTTACCCCTGTTCCTGTCCCCAGGATGCCTCCATGCCCCTGTCCAGCTGTCCTTCTGCCACATGCCCGGGGATGGGCACGGGGCCAAGGGGAAGAACCAACACCCTGCCCAGCTGGCTCTGCCTCCCTTCCTCCCTCAGATCTTACCTGGCCATCCCTGCCTCCTCCTGGGTGGATGACTTCATTGACTGGCTCACCCCGTCCTCCTGCTGCCGCCTTTATATCCTTGGTCCCAATAAGGGCGAGTTCTGCCCTTCAACTGTCAGTGAGTGTGGGGTCATGGGGGGCTCACTGCCCACCACAGCTCAGAGAAACTGAGGTGAGAGAGAGGACTGGCGAGGTTCTCTCCCATGCCTCCCGTGGGGGTCTGTTGGGGGCAGGGTGAATGCTTGGCTTTAGGGACAGGCACCCTGTGAGGAGTGCTTGTGTGGGTGATCGAGCTGGACTGAGGGCATTAACATACTTAGGCCCCCTCATGTGTCTCGTCCCCACGTGCAGGGCACATGGTACTCACAGGTAGCGGGGAGACAGGCATGGCGAGTTGAGGTTGGCACATGGCTCTGCCACCCAGAACAGCTGCATTTGTAGGTGGAGTGAGAGGCCCCTGTGGGGTCTGTTTTCCTGCCTGGGTCCCACAGTTAGAGACAACAGTGCCAACCCCTCTAGGAGTGACTCTTGAAGCAGGAGTGCCTGGAGACCCTTGAGGGGAGTGAGGAGAAGGCGTGGGGCAGAGCAGGAACTGCTGGCCCTGGCGTGCCACTGCCCGGAGCCCCTTCTCTCTGCAGACTCTTTGAACTGCTTGAAGAACTGCATGGACTACACGATGGGCTCCGTGCGGCCCTCGGTGGAGCAGTTCCACAAGTATCTCCCCTGGTTCCTGAGTGATCCACCCAACATAAAATGTCCCAAAGGGTAGGCTCAGGGGGGCCTTCTGCTGGGGAGGGCAGATATGTGGGCCCAAGGAGAGGGGTGAACATAGAGGGCGGGGGGGGCCTTGAGTGGCCTCTCCATGGCTGCTGTGGGCTAGGCTTGTCCCTAAGCTTTTGCCTGGCCTTCTCCCTGCAGTGGCCTGGCAGCATACAGCACCTCCGTGAACTTGAGTTCAGATGGCCGGATTTTAGGTAAGTTTAGCTTTGCCTGGAGGGGAGGACCCACGGCAACCGCTCTGGAGGGTCCCTGAGAGCCCCCAGGGAACACCTTCTCTTCATTTCATGTATTCTCTCCCTCCTTCTTGGGGGGCTTCTAGTTGCAAAGGCCCTGTCAGGAGGGACCCTGTGCCTCAACTCCACATCCTCAGAATTCACCCCTCTCCCACTCCTAAGTCCATAGTCAGTGTGAAATTTGTGGAATTCTTTCGCAGCTGATGACATACTTGGGGGTCCCTATGCCCTAAGCTAAGCACCTTTTCTCACCTGTGGAAATGTCAACAGTGGGCAGCTTGTTCGATGGATTAGGATGCCAGCACTGCACAATTCCTGCAGCTACTAAAAGTGACAAGGGAGATGCAGTCAGATGACAGAGAAAGGACCGCAACATGCTGTCAGCTCACCATGGCAGATGGCAGAACAAGATGGCCATCTGCGTGAAGGAGCTAGCCATGAGGGAGCTGGTGCTGGGCATGGACCTGGGGGTCAGTGGCGGGTGGGGGAGCTTTTGATGGATTCTCTCACTCTGTACTGAAATAAGTCATGGCTCGAATTACTAGCTACAAACTGACTGAAGCTCGCTGGCCCCACCCTCCCAGCTGACTCTGTGAAGTTCCCGTCTTTGTGGAAGGGTAGCCCGCCCCATTCTGGCCCTGATTCCTGGGCACCACAAGCTGTGTGGAGCCAGTGCGGCGGGGCTGGTGTGGACAGATGGGAGTGGGTGTCCCATTCTGGAACAGATGAGTAAGGCCTAGGGGAGCAGACTGGGGAGTCCACGCCCTGTGGCCTGGGGCAGGTCTGTGCCCACCTCTGACCTGAGACTCCTTGTGTGTGCATGAGGGTAGTCTAGGGCAGCACTTCTCAAAGTGAGGTCACCTGGTCAGAGGCATCAGCATCACCTGGAAAGTGTTAGAAATGCAAGTTTCCAGGCCTCATCCGAGTCCTTCCAGACCTGAATCTCTGGGCTGGAATGGCCACCTGTGAATGAACCAGCCTCCACAGAGGCCTGGTGGGAGGTTCTCCAGGTACCTTCCCTGCTCTGAGAACACTTCTCTTTTTTTCTCCACATGTGTTATCTCTATTGCTCATTTCTTGGGTACACATGCTTACTGTCCAAAATTAAGAAATAGGCTTTATTGTACTAACTCGGCAGGGGCCCTAAAGCCACAGCTCTAACAATTCAGCTACCTTCATTTTACTGTCTTCCTTTCTAGTCCTTTCCTCTTGGAATGTGCAAATTTGAAAACCAATTAAATTAATTTTTAAAACCCAATGCATATCTTGAAACCATTTAGAGGATTTGGGTTCATCGGGAGATCTCTTTAGGCTCGATCCATCAAAGATCAGGCCGGGACTTGGGGCTCCCCCTATAGCCGTGGGACCAGCTATGGAGTTTGTGAGACTGGTGCAAAACAAACACACAGACCCCTTGCACACAATTTACTAAGAATTTCAAATGGTGGCAGCAGAGTCCTGGACCCAGCTTGATCTCGTGCTTGTGCCCCTTTCCTGAGGTGCTCTAAGGGTGTGCTGGAGTGGGCTCTGTCTGACCTTTGCACTTCCCTCTCCCATGTGGCTACCCAGCCTCCCGGTTCATGGCCTACCACAAGCCCCTGAAGAACTCACAGGATTACACAGAAGCCTTGCGGGCAGCTCGAAAACTGGCAGACAACATCACTGCCGAACTGCGGAAGGTGCCCGGGACAGACCCAGCCTTTGAGGTCTTCCCCTACACGTGAGGACCAGAGTGGCTAGGCTGGAGGGAGGTGGGGAGCGACCCCAGGGACAGGAGTTTAGGGCGGTGGGCTGAGGAGGGGTTGTGTTAGATGAAGACCAGCTTCAGGCCAAGAGGCTCTGGCGGCTGTCTGGGGCCGGCCCATTTCTCACGCTGGTTTGTACCCCGGCATATGCCTAAGCCTCAGCATTCTCTTTCTGAAGTGGTGGCGTCCTGCCCGCCTCGAGGGCCCATGAGGCCTGTGCTTGCGACCACCTTCTGCACTTGCAGGATCACCAATGTGTTTTATGAGCAGTATCTGACCGTGCTCCCTGAAGGGATCTTCATGCTCAGCCTCTGCCTCATTCCCACTTTCGCCGTCTGCTGCCTCCTGCTGGGCATGGACCTGCGCTCTGGCCTCCTCAACCTGTTCTCCATCATCATGATCCTCGTGGACACCATCGGCTTCATGGCCCTGTGGGACATCAGTTACAATGCCGTGTCCCTCATCAATCTGGTCACGGTAACTCACCAGCAGGTGGCCCTGGGAGGGACGGCTGGGGATCCAGCCTCACAGAAGACTCCCAGCTCTGTCTATAATCCAGACACCTGCCCCACCGGTCCCGGCGGAGACCTTATCTCCCTGCTTCCATCCCTCCCTCTGCCTTTCTGGGCTGAAGCCCTCTCTCTGCCCACAGGCCGTGGGCATATCTGTGGAGTTTGTGTCCCACATCACCCGCTCCTTTGCCATCAGCACCAAGCCCACCCGGCTGGAGAGGGCCAGAGAGGCCACCATCTCTATGGGCAGTGCGGTGAGTGGTGTGGAGCAGGCCACCCTGTGCCCCACTTAATGCCCTGTGCCCTGCCTGATGCCTGTCTGTGACCCCCGTCCAGGTGTTCGCAGGCGTAGCCATGACCAACCTACCTGGCATCCTTGTCCTGGGCCTCGCTAAGGCCCAGCTCATCCAGATCTTCTTCTTCCGCCTCAACCTCCTGATCACCCTTCTGGGCCTGCTGCATGGCCTGGTCTTCCTGCCGGTCATCCTCAGCTACCTGGGTGAGTGCTCAGACTCACTCCTGCCAGGCTGTCATGAGTATGGTGATGAATGCAACAGGCCTGCGGACCACGAATACGCAGGGAGTGCACAGGGAGTACGCGTGGGAAGCACACACAAGCCACGGGCAAACATTAGAAGCACTTACACGACCAAGACTGTGACCTCATGCGCTTCTCATTTTGGAAGCTGCTGTTTTTCACTTAACATGTTGCACACACCTTTTTTGTTGTTGTTGGCAGATGTGTGTCTCAAACACCGATTCTGTGGCTCAATGGATCTCTACTGTACCGCTGTGGAACTTTTAAGCATGAGCTTTGGCAAGAAATATATTTTGCATTGAGAGGTGACATGTGTGGGCACACAGACACAGATATACACAGCTGAAACGAATGAGGCTCAAAATAACACTTGCTCTTACTATTTGTGAAGTTTTCTGATATTTTCAGTTCTATTTTATCATTAATTTTTTTTTTGAGTTGGACTCTCACTCTGTTGCCTAGGCTGGAGTGTGGTGGCACACTCATGGCCACCCCAGCATGGACCTACTGGGCTCCAGTGATCCTTTTGCCTCAGCCTTCCAAGTAGCCAGGACTACAGGTGTGCACTACCACGCCCGGCTAATTTTTTTTGTTTATTGTAGAGACGAGGTCTCACCAAGTTGCCCGGATGGGTCTCTAATCCGTGGGCTCAGGCAATCCACTTGTCTCGGCCTCTCCAAGTGCTGGGATTACAGGCTGAGCCACCGAGCCCGGCCTCATTAATTTTTTAAATGTTTCTGTTCATCTACCAATTGATTTCAAGACTCATTAATGGGTAGCAACACATAGTTTGAAAACATCATCCTGATCATATGGTTCTACCACAATTGGACATTAGATTCTTTCTTTTCTTAGTTGTTTTTTTTTTTTTGAGACAGGGTCTTGTTTTGTCACTCAGGCTGGAATGTGGTGGTGTGATCATGGCTCACTGTAACCTTGACCTCCTGGGCTCAAGCAGTCCTCTCTCCTGAACATTCTGAGTAACTGGGACTAGAAGTGCTTGCCACCATGCCTGGCTACTGATTTTTTATTTTTAGACATGGGTCTCACTATGTTGCTCAGGCTGGACATTAGATTACTTCTGACTTTCCACTGTCACTGCCAGAGCTGCAGTGAATGGTCTTGTGACTGAAGCTTTGACCTCATCCTCCAATATTTCCTTAGAGAAAGGCTGCGAATGTCAATTATTAATGCCAATTATGAATACCCTCCAGAAAATTTTACCATTTAAACTTGTATCAGTAGCATGTGCAAGTACCCTCATTGTTGAACACTACCATTAAAAATTGCCCCCTGTAGAGATTTCATCTGAGTTCTCTATGATGAGAGCATTTCTGGCTTCCTAGGGTGGGCAAGCTGGGAGGAGTTCAATTTTAGCCCCCACCAGATCATAATTATAACATAATATTATTAGAGGACATTTAGAGAAGGATACGCTTGTCCCTCAAAGGTCTCTAATTCTCTTATTGCCCCTGGAAGTAGATATTATTATCATTCCCATTTCTTTCTTTCCTTTTTTTTTTTTTTTTTTTGAGTTGGAGTCTCACTCTGTTGCCCAGGCTGGAGTGCGGTGGCACACTCACGGCCACCCTAGCATCAACTTGTTAGGTTTCAGTGAGCCTTCCGCCTCAGCCTTCCAAGTAGCTGGAACACAGGCGCATGCTACCACGCCCAGCTAATTTGTTTTATTTATTTATTGTAGAGACGACTCTCCCCAAGTTGCCCCGGCCAGTCTCAAACCCGCAGGGCTCAGGCAATCCTCTCACCTCAGCCTCCCAAAGTGCGGGATTATAGGCGTGGGCCACTGCACCCAGCCACCCATTTGTTTTTATTTTTATTTTTTATTTTTTGAGTTGAAGTCTCACTCTGTCACCCAGACTGGGGTGCAGTGGCACACTCACAGCCACCCCAGCGTTGACCCGCTAGGCTCCAACGATCCTTCCGCCTCAGTTTTCCAAGTAACTTAAACTACAGGTGCACGCTATCACGCCTGGCTAATTTATTGTAGAGACAAGGTCTCAGCAAGTTGCCCAAGCTGGTCTCGAACCCGCGGGCTCAGGCAATCCACTCGCCTTGGCTTCCCAAAGTGCTGGGATTACAGACTGAGGCATCGAGCCCGGCCGTCATTCCCATTTTACAGCTAAGGAAACAGACGTCTGCCCCAGGTCACCAATCTGGCCACATGGAGCAGGGGTTGGAGCCTAACAGCTCCAGGGTCCCTAGCCATGACACAGTCTCTTGTAGGAATTCCCTGACCCTCCTTGGAAGAGGACAGCGTGTGTGTTGGGGATGGTGGGTGAGACTCAAGAGAGTAGCAAAGAGGCACAGCCGTGGGGTCCAGTCGGACAAAGGGAACCTCGGGCCTCGGAGTTGCTGGTGATGGCTGCTCCTTGGAGGTTCCCAGAGCGCCTGGGGGATGGGAGAAGGCCACATAGGAAGAAGCATGGCACAGACCAGAAAGAAGTATGGCACAGACCCCCTCGATGATCTCTCATGCTCTGAGTTTGTGTGCAGAATGAGGAAGAGGTTCTCTTAGGAGGTGCCGTGGCTGAGATGTCTGTAAAGATGTCTGAGAAGAAAGGGAGAGAGAGGGCTTCCTAGGCCTGTGGGGAGGTCTCAGGACTTCATCTGGGCCAGCATGCCCACAGAAGCAGACAGGCTAGGGCCAGGCATAAAGGCCAGCTAAAAACGCTTCTGGCTTTTTGGGGTGGGATGGAGCAAGTGCGGGGGTAGGTGTAGATTGAAGTTGGGGGCTGACCTTCAGGCTCCAGACTTCTCACCTGGCTGTGGCCGTACCCCTCCCCCATCTCTCTCACGGTGGTCCTCTGCTTCTGTCTCTCTGCAGGGCCTGATGTCAACCCAGCCTTGGTGCTGGAGCAGAAGCGGGCTGAAGAGGCAGCGGAGGTCAGGGCATCCTCCTGCCCGAAGCACCCCTCTCCGGAAGCCTGCACGACCAGCAAAATCTATGTCAACCATGGCTTTGAAGGTCCTGTCAAGGGTGCTGGAGCCGTCAGCGACTTTTTGCCCAATGACGGGCAGAAGTTCTGATAGAGCCACAGATCCTGTGCAGGCTCCATGGCCCTGAACTGAGGGGCCATAGGGTCTTTCCTGTGGCTGTTCTTTGATCCACCCACTCCTCAAGGCTGGGGCGGAGGATGTTCCCATGAGACTCCCTGTCACTTTAGGACAGCATGCCCTCTGGTTGCACCACCGACGGCTCTCCTGCTCCTGTAGTGACTCCTCGGTCTCAGAGCCACCCAGATCTCAGTCAGCATGAGATGGCCTCCTCCTCATGGGCCCTGGGCCTTGGAGTTGCCAGGAAAAGACACACTCCATGTTTGTCCCAGACTCAGAGTCTTTCATAGATACATGCTTCTCATTTCAGCATTCCCTTCCTTCAACCCTTCTGTCAAAAAAATCTCAATTACGTGAGAACAGAGAGTGTGACCCCCACGCCAGGCTATGACACTTGGCAGGAAGCCAGAGAGCAGGAGAGGCCGAGGCTCAGGCCAAGAGCCAGGGTGTGGGAGACAGGCTGGCAGCCAAACCGTCCAGGTCATACCTGCAGGTCTGCCATCCATGTCTCTTTCTAGTGAGAGAAGGGACCAGGGAGGATGTTCTCATAGACACGGTCATGGATTAATCCTACCCGGAAAATGGTGTCAGACTTGACTTCAGCTCCAATGATTATTAAGCTTATTGCTGCCACTTGAAGCCACCCAGGGGACTGATGGCTGGAAGCTCTTGGGGTGGGGCTGATCCTCCCACCTCCATCTCATGCCTGGAACACAGACTTGTTGGCCTCAAACCAGCCCAGACTGAGCCTCCGAGGAGAGGAGGAGTTCTCCAGAAGCATGAACTGTAGGGGAGAAGAAGATGCCTTGCTCTGTGCTGTGCACACATGTGCCTAATAAATATTTGTTGGCAAAAGGGCGTTTTATGTCATATGTCCTACTCTGTCTCTGGGCTTAAGACAATTTTTGTAAATGACACAGATAATACATGTGTGGGAGAGTGGTTTATGGAGGTTTTAGTTTGTGCTTTATTAGATTTCCCCTCTCCCTTTTCAAGAAAGTAGTCAGGACATTGTGTGCTCATGTCCTACAAGTGCCTTTGAGGAATGGGAGTAATTTCCCCTCAAACTCAGAGGGCACAGAGCCTGGGAGTCAGCCAGAAAAAGGATGTACAGCTTCCCCTCTCTGGAAATAGCCTGCAAAGTAGGCAAGATCTAGAGAAGCTGCCGGGGAGTACAGGGGTTCACTAGGGGCGGGAGGGCCCCACTATATAAACTATCCCTCCCAGGAAGGTCCCGTACCAGGACAGTGTGTGAACATGCTCAGGTACCTTCCAGATCCCTCTCAAGCCTTTCTGTTCCCCTTTAGATTCAGCCCTTGTTTGGCCTAAGAGCTCCTGTGGCCTCCTGTGCTCAGAGGGCCTGTCAGCATGTGAAGGGGGGACAAGCAAAAGGGGGTAGGAAGGAGACAGTATTTCTGGAGCCTACTGTCTGCTCTCTGGTTCTCACAAGAGCCTCATATCAAGGCATCATTAGCCCACCTTTGAGAGGGTTGCTGGCTGACCAAGACAGACAGGAGGTCTGGTAAAGGGAGAGCTACCAGGAAATAGAGGTTGAGGAGACATCGCACAAGTCACCCTGTCAAAAACTCCACAGGTGCAGAATAAACACACAGAACTGAGGGACAAAATAGCTTCTGGTAACAGTGGTTTCAAATCAGAGGAAAGGACAGACCGTTCAATAAGTGGTGTGGGAACAGTTACCAAATTATTTGGATCAAAATAAAGTTATATCTATGTCTCACACCACATACAAAGTATAAAAGTATAGACACATCAAGGGGCTAAACATAAAAGTGAGACTATACAACTATCAGAAGAAAAAGTTTTCTAAGCACAGCAGCCAGATCCCATAAAGATAAAGACTAAAGGTTTGATTCTATAACAACTGAAAACTTCTGTAAACACACAAACACAAACAAACAAACAACAAAAAAAGAAAACTGAAAGGCATATGATGAGCTGGGAAAATGATTTGCAACATATTTAACAGCAAAGGATTAAAATCAAGAATATACATAGAGGAAGGGGTGGACTGGGCTAAGTGGCTAACTCCCCCACTGAAAAAACAATTCTGGCTAAAATAAATCTTAGCCATGTATATATGTACGTATGCATACATATCTATGCACATCGGCCTTGACAGTAGCCTTGGGAGACCCTTGACAGAGTAACTGGACTTCTGAACGTGTGTTGTTTTAGCCACTCAATGAGTGATCATTTGTTAAGGCAGCCACGAAAACACCTACACTGCATAAAGGCGAGTTTTTCCAGGGAGGATTTATCTTTTCCTTGTCCAGGGTCTTTTTATTTTTTTGAGTTGGAGTCTCTGTTGCCCAGGCTGGAGTGTCATGGCACACTCATGGCCACTCCAGCGTCAACATGCTGGGATCCGGCGAGGCTTCTGCCTCCGCCTTCCAAGTAGCTGGAACTATAGGTGCACACTACCGCGCTCAGCTAATTTTTGATTTATCCTGCTGACAAGGTCTTGTCAAGTTGCCCGGGTTGGTCTCAAACCCGTGGGCTCAGGCAATCCACTCACCTTGGCCTCTCAAAGTGCTGGGATCACAGGCTGAGCCACCAAGCCCAGTCCAGGGTCATTTTAACTAGATTTTCAGCATGTGGTGTTCAGGCCACCCATGGGTGTAGATGTGGCTTGAAATCCACATGAAAGTGACAGGTGGTGTCAATACCCAGTGTCAATCCCCCTCCCACACCAACCCTCTTGCTTAGGGCTCAGGTGAGAGACTCGTGGAGCTGGAGGTTTCAATGTGACAAGGAAGAGCAGGCCTTATGAACCCCATTTACGAGGATAAGGGCCCTATTGACTCACTGTCTTGTCCCCTCTTAGGCTGTGGACACCAAGACTCCAGGTCATGAGGGTGGGCAAATGCTTTCTTCCTGAAGTAGGCCCCGGTGTTCTCTCCCCGCTCTGGTTCTTGCCTCACCCTGAGCTGCTCTGTTCAGCTCAGCCACGATGAGGCTTTCATGGGTCTCATCAAGAAATTGGGGTGGTCTCAGTGGGAGGGTGTGTCCAGATCTCTAGGTCAGACTTGGAACAGAAGTCTGCTCCCTTTTGTGGAATTCCTATGACAACCTTCATTTTGGGATTCCTGCCTTGATAGGGGAAACTGCTTATTTTTAAAAATCCTTCTGATCATCTTTTCATGTTTTTTCTTTCTTTCTGGGCAATGGCCTTTACCACATCTTCCAGAACTTCTCCTACATTTTCTGTGATAAGCTCTCATGTTTGTCATTTCCGAGAGTTCTCACATTTTCCTCTGATATGTTTCTAATATTTTGTAACTTTTTGCTTTCTTACTGGGGATATGGTATCTCGTGATTTCTCTGAGGATGTGAATTATATGTGCTTTAGTCCCTTTCTTCAATCCTTTCTGTTTTCGGTGGTCTTTTTTCCTCTTCGTGTGTGGTAAAAATTGTAAAATTCTCTTCAGCCATTTGTGAATTCCTTCTCTTGAAATCTAAGGTGACAAAGGTGAGGAGGTTAGAATGAATATAGGAGAATCTTGTATTTATTTTAACAAATAGAAGCATTTATAGATTTGTCTCCTTGAATAGATGAATATTATTTTCTTGTACCTAAATCACCTAATTTAAAAAAATTAGGATATTCACTATATTTTTTCTTAATTTTTCCAGAGTTAGTTATGATTTATTTCCATAAGAAAATACGTAAAAAACATTTTGGCAGTCAAAAATGTCAGACTTTCTCTAAAGTACCTATCTCCATAGAAAGGCAATATCTATGTGAGGGACACTGATGGTGTTTGCAAGGAAGTTAAAAAATTTATGTTAGGCTTTCTATTAAATGTTTATTTTGAATATAAAAGGAGCAAATGACTAAAAGACCTAAGATCAGCTGTACTATTAACTATGCAGTTAATCCACAAATGTATCATGACACAACCAGAGAACTGATAAGGACTTTGAAGACAAAGGCCTGTGCTGTAAAAATTATGGTATGACATTCTTTAGAGTGCACAAATCTCAATCCTCTTCTAAGTCTCTTCATGAACATCATGGAGAGAGACACTTGGCAGAATCACCCAGCTATGAGACTCAGAGCACAAATATTTGTCTTGCTTAAATGGGGCATTTAGAAGGTATCCATAGGATATCTGATGCTTTGAGTACATAAATTATATTATTTTTAGTATTTATTTTTATTAAATAAATAATGTTTATAGATATTATATAAGTTATATATGTAATATATAATATGCTGTATTATTTCCTGTATGTATAATATGTATAAACACAATCATACAAGATAAAATCTTAAATGGAGATAACCACAATCAGCTAGTGATTTGAAATATGCTTTATGTCATTCATTCATTTAATGATAAATATATAGGATCACTATGGTTTTCTAAATTCAGTTCCTATTACAAAGTTTGGTTACTGACACTTTTTATTCACATGTATTATATTTTCACAAAGGAACATTGGATGAATTCCAGAAAAGATTAAGTCAGAGAAAAGAAGCTCTATATTTAGTGTAAAAGTCTGTCCATTCCACTGACCATAAATCATGTAGGGGTGGAGCAGATCCATTAACCCAGAGACTTATAAACTGATATTTGTATTATCACCCACAAACAGATTTATAGTCTGAGTCAAACATGCTAATTTCCTTCTAAAGTAAAATCAATCAATCGATCAATCAACACTTAAAAAATATAACAAAGTTAGGATATTTTCATATCATAGTATCACAATGCCCAATGTAGAATTAATAATTTCTTTCTTTCTTCTTTTTTTTTCTTTGGAGTAAGAGTCTCACTCTGTTGCCCAGGCTGGAGTGCAGTGGCACACTCACGGCTTTGACCTGCCCGGCTCAGGTTATCCTTCCACCTCAGCCCTCCAAGTAGCTGGAACTACAGGAGTGCACCATCATGCCTGGATAATTTTTTTACTTATTGTGGGGATGAGGTCTTACCTAGGTGGTCTTGAACCCCTGGGCTCAGGCAGTCCTCTTGCTTCCGCCTCCCAAAGTACTGGGATTACAGGCATGAACCACCACACCCAGCCTAT